CCATTAAGCTGACAAGCTATTAAAATGAGCACCATATTATATTCTATCACTGTTTACTTAGCATTGCCTGTTTATGCCATTCCTTGCTTTACTTATTGTAAGATAATGAACATAAATTACTATAGCAAATGTTTTAGTAGTACTCACATTTGCTTTCTAGTGAGTAATGGAAACAAATGAACTTATACATTAAACTCTCAACAGCATCATTCCTATACTCTGTTTTTCATGACACACAAATGTTAAAGAAGAGAAAAACTTGGATTAAAAACATATTTATTTTGAAACTAGAGATCAGAATACAACACAAGAATAAGGGCTAGTTCACACCGGATGCAGTTGTGATGCAGGCCAGTTTGGCTGCTGCACCTAAAATACATCACAATGCTTTCCTATGGGATTTCTGGTGCCCCATTCACACCAGTGCAGTCCGTTCTGATGCAGTCAGGAAAAAATACTGCTTGCCCTATTTTAGCTGCAACGGATCGCACCAGAACGTATCAAAAACGCACTGGAACGCACCTGAAATCCCATTTTAAGCAAAAAACTAAAGCAAAAAAAAACAAAAACGCATCAATCGTGGTAAAATTGCCGTACAATTGCAGTAAAATCACAGTAAATCCAGGCAAAATGCATCGCATTGCAGCTGCGCAGACACACGCAGTTCTGGTGTGAACTAGCCCTAAAAGACAGAGCAGCAAAACAAAAAGTTTTCATAAAATAAAAAAGCTTTTACAAAAGATTGGTAAAAACAGCAATAACACTGACTCTCTACATTTATAGCCAGGAGTGAGACGCTTCAGTATGCAGATCTTCTGCCAAACTCTTTAACCTTTTGTGAATATCCCTGTAACTTATTTTTGAGACTCTGTTTTCCTCATAGGAATGAGGAATATTGAATTCCTCTCAATAAATGACTTACAAGCAACCGATAACAACAATGGATCTAGATTTAAACGACTCAATTCATTAACTAGTACAAGCAGTATTGCACGATAATATGTGTACCTGAATAGAAAGTCGTGTGCTAAAATGAAACATTACAAAAAAAATACAGTGGGCAGGATTGTTGACGTTAATGCAACCATTTTTTTTTCTATAGTAGTAACAGCTTCCAAATATACACTATTCAGCTTATAAAAAAGTCAGCAGTGCATAACCAAGAAACACAAGCTCTGCTCCAGTCAATCTTCTGAGACCAGTTGTAGGTATTCTCCTATGGGGTGCTGCTATCTTGGTTCTACTACAGCATAGAAAAGGTAAAGCCAGGCTGTCAATCGCACTCCACACATCAAGGGAACCTCTGCCTTTTCTGTGAAGAAATGTGTTACTGGTTCCTTCGGTGGTTAGAAGGATTGATTTCAGATACAGAAGAGAGCTTGGCTGCAAAATTTGACAAAACGTTTAGATTTGAATATTAGTAACAGCACTGTTTAACCTCTTTAGGCTGCATGTTTTGGAAAGAAGGAAAAGGGAGTAAGTGTAAAACAGCTGATGGAGCAGATTATAAAGTTACCACTGTATTTTTATCCTTGGGGAATGGAAAAGTTCACTTCAATAGAGTAATGGGTTATTTTATTTTTAATGGAGAATGCAGACTATCCATTTACTAGACTCCAGTGACAGGACTAGAAATACAGCCTAATCATTTTCTGAAGTTCAAAGAAATGATGAGAATACAACCTATGAATTCACTAGAGACCAGATATTTCTATTGAAAATGGAGAGCGGATATCGCTACTGGACATTGCAGTGTTTACTCCACATTGAGCCTGCATTTTGCACAATCATACCTAAAATGCAAGCTGCAGTGTGCTCTGAAGTGTTTGCTGCATTAGACTATTGAGATGACTTCATCATAGACGGAGAGGCTGGTCACATGGCTTTGACAGGTCATGTGACTGGGCTATCCTACTCAGAATTTTTTTACACAGTCATAAATATGGATGAAGCTTTGCAGTCCCGAAGCAAGCAAAGTGCCATGCACATTTGCAAATCACACCGCTGTGCTTTTTTAAAAAAATGTGCCTTTTTTAATGCAGCAGTATTGTGGCAATAAGATCGTAGCATGTCTTTATGAAAGGGCTCCTAAGTGGACCATTGACATCACAAAGAATGCAGCCTCTAAATCCCAAGTTATAAAGAGGTTGAGGGCACCACAAGACTTGAATAGGTTAGGTCCAGCAAAATTATTTTTTTCATGGCAAGTAGTCACGGCAACGCATTTTGGGGTTCAACATTCCACCTTTATCACGGCATTGTCAGTATGATGACCTGAATCACCAATTGATGATCCATTCTACACTGCAACCATTGTCCAGCATATTTGTGTATTCATTGTTAGCATTCAAGCCCTGATGAAGGGGAATGTTGAGCACACTGAAATATGTTGGCTGTTTGATTATTTGCCATGAACAATAAATATGTGTAGGTATGCAGGTATAGTTACAGGTGAGCTTCTTTTAATTAAAAATGACCTGTTCACATCTGATAACAATAATGATGGTCTTGATTCTAGTTATTATTGAGGAAAATCCCTAATAAACGATGGTCAAATGGCACTGTGTGGCCCATTTGTAATAGAGAGATGTCAGGATTTAGATCATTGATGTTAGGGCATTAGCGTAGCTTAGGAAATACATTTCCATTGTCCAAACCACATCTACTGTAGGTAAGGTATATAAATTATATTTCCATTGTCCAAACCACATCGACTGTAGGTAAGGTATATAAATTATATTTCCATTGTCCAAACCACATCGACTGTAGGTAAGGTATATAAATTATATTTCCATTGTCCAAACCACATCTACTGTGGGTAAGGTATAGAAATTATATTTCCATTGTCCAAACCACATCTACTGAGGGTAAGGTATATAAATTATATACGATATTATAGTAATAATGAATATTATTATTAGTATTATTATTTTTATTACTATAATTTCTGAATAAACAGGAAAAAGATATAAAAGATATGTCATATACAGGTGAAACTCGAATAATTAGAATATCGTGCAAAAGTAATTGCAGTAAGTGCTGCAAAAGGGGCCGAAACCAAGTACTGAGTACATATGCATGCTTGTACTTTTCAGAGGTCCGATATTGTTCTATGTACAATCCTTGTTTTATTGATTGCATGTAATAATCTACTTTTTTGAGGTTGTGGATTTGGGGTTCTTGGGGTTTTCATGAGCTGTAAGCCATAATCATCACAATTATGACAAATCACAGCTTGAATTATCTTGCTTTGTATGTAATGATTCTATCTCATATATTAGTTTCACCTTTTAAGTTGCATTAGTGAAATAGATGAACTTTGCACGATATTCTAATTATTCGAGTTTCACCTGTACAGCTGTATAAAGCTATCATGTCAATGTAATGATCAAGTCAAGCCAATGTTTTCAGAAATAATTGAGGTTCCTGCTTGAAAAAGGGTGCTATGGAGCATTTATTTAAATTAACTTTTTTTTATTGTGCTACACATGAGAGTGAATAAAATAAAAGCAGAATTTTCACATTTCACATGATGTTGCTTGAACGTTGGATTATCCATAAACAGTATGTGGGAAGTCAAGCTTAGAACAAGGGGGATTGTTACTTAGGGTATTACCAAACAAGTTTTGTTCAGGTCTAAGTTGCATTTGTCTTATGTCATCTTGATTTGTTTAAATATCTAATAAATTATAACATTTTAAACTATATCTAAAGCTGGTGTAATGAAGTGTACAGCGCTAAATGCCCTTCAGGAAATTAGATAACGGTAGGGATCATATGGTGTCACCTCCGTGTCAAGCAATCGTGAAACAGTGTATATATAATAAATATTTATTTAAAAACTTATAGTACGTTATAAAATGTGTCAGCAGGTGTCATAAAAGGCGTGTCATACATGAACCTTATTAAATAAATAAACAAAAATCTTCAAAGAACATGTGTCATATATGTGAAAAAAATATTATTGTGAAAACAATATTAAATAAATAAATAAACATGTGTCATATATGTGAAAAATAAATATATCACAATATAAAACAGTCTGTGTTGTTTTCTTTTGAAAATAAGTAGAAGTATGCACTTATAATATAAAAAATGCACCCAAAGTTCTTAAAGCTCTCCGATCTTCAAAACACTAAAGCTGGCTTGTTTTTTTTCTTTTTGATAGAGTGAGAATGGTTAAAACCTCTTTCTTTTTTTGTCTTTGTTATATAAGGGAGATCTCCCTTACTTCCTGTCCTAAAGACACATAATAAAGTGAGAGTGAATCTCTTGAAAGTTAGGGACATTTCCTCATAGTTGTCTTTGGAACAGATGTCCTTTTTCAAAAGTTTCCTATCACTTGCACCCCACCAGGCTTCATGGGTATACTTTGATTGGTCCAACAGTAGTTTGTTTGGTATCCTGTAGTACACTGTTTACTACTAAACCAACCCCCCCCCCTTGTTTTGGATCACAACATCCTCCCACCTCCCTAAGAAGCTTTTGCAGCGTAATGCGTCAATAATTGCCTACCATTACAGTACTGTCAAGGTTACAAGCATTATATGCATTCATGCTGGATATTTTCTACTAATCAAGATATGTAAAATCATTGGAATACTCATACAGCCTGTATTGGTCAGATAGGAGGTTCCTTTTATTGGATGGACATATATTTTATGCAGCTTTAAAAATGGATAAATAAACTTTGTTTTAACAGTGCAAATAAGTTTATAGCTTCTTGGTGTTCCCGTCAAAGCCCCATTTATTATATTTGTTATAATTATGTACATTATAGGGGTGTGGTATGTGAAAGCCAAGTACCTCATTCCAATGTTGAATTAACATCACTGTGACAAACTAAATTTTACTCTCTATCACTTTCTGTCGCAGTGGTCACCATGACATATTGAGAGTGAATCTTTCCACGTTCTAACTAATCCTCACTGTATCTAAAACTAAAGAAAGTTATGGCAATTCATGTCCTAATTAACATATTTATAACTTTTTTCTTACAGGACATGATGGTGCAATCAATGGTTTGGGCTGGAGCTACAACAGAAATTGGTTGGTGTCTACCTCTGATGATAGAACAGTGAGGATTTGGAATGCAAAAACTACCGCTCTAGAGCTTGTTTTGGTAATTAATATGCCTTTGTATTGATAACACTTTTTATATAAAGATGTAAAATAATCATGTGCGTTTTATTCTCATTTTAGGCTTTTCATCAGTGATATCCACTGGGATACATTGGCTTATTGTGCTCAGCATTATACATATCTGTTTGAACAAGTATAAATGTACTAAGGTTAATTACATTTGTAAGAGGGTTTCATTGTGATAGTACCAGCTGTGCTATTGTAATTAGTATAAAAATACTGAAGCAGCCAAAACTGCACAGGTTTTTGTGTCAGATATGTACCCTGCACTACTCACTCATATCTGTACTAACACAAGTGAATAGGAGGCTATTCGCTGAATTTTGTTTTACCTTGGCAGATATCATTTGATTGAAAATGGTAGCATAAAGATGTCTGCTTGTTTCAACTATAAGAGTATGTTATAGTTGAAGCAAGCTTGGATTTTATGGGGTTTGGAATGCAAAATCTTGTTCAAACTAACAAGTGCTTGCTCTCGGTATGACCATGCTTAGGCCTTGTGATAAGTTAAGGTACCTAGTACTGCATATATCCCTCAAGTCAATTTAGCTAATACTAAACAACTACCTAAATACTATTGATGAAGGGCACCACCACGATACGTTGTATCTGTATTTAATATTCTTAACTATGGACATTTCTTCCAATTATTATCATCTGTAATTATTTAAATTTGTAGTATTTACCAATCCATTCGTGCATCAGTAACATTGTGTTCCATTCATTGGACTATATGATGCATTAATTGTTTACAGAAACCGTTTCCTAATATGAACTTTTTGACTTAGAAACCAACTCACCAGTGCATGATCAGTGAATCAAAACTGCCCCTTCAAGACCCAGTTATTTCCCAGTTGGGTGCCTCTTTATTTTCTCTTCCCTCCATTTGCTATATAGTAAAAGTTAAAATAATAGTGCTATACGCTCTGAGCCAATAAGATTCTATTGCATTGCACAGCGCTGAGAAGGAAGTGTTAAAACAAAACATGGAAGACTTAAACAGTGTTATGATACTCGTTCATAGCCAAATGAGAACGAAGGTGACATTCCATACTTCCGAGTTTTAATTACAAATTATGGTGTCACTCTCCTCCTTTGTAGGCATACGATCAGATGTGCAGAAAATTACATTTCTAGGAAAGTTCTACGTACAGAATTCCTCCATCGCTCCTTTTTACCTTAATGATTACAAGGAAGCAATACTTGGATTTTTGCCAGTTTTGTAAAATAATAGCTGGCGCAAGATTTAAAAAAAAAAAAGTGTGTGAGCTAATGTCCATAGAAGTTTATAGTGTCTGGTAATAGGTACCAAAAGGCTCTTGGTTATAAAATCTGAAGAGCCACTATAAGACTGATGAAGGTAAAAATAAATGGATGGATGGAATCTGTGAATGATGACAAACGCAGATCAAGTCCATAAACAATACTTAGCATGTAGAAGATAGCAATTGACAGAATTCTTTGGCCTTTACAAAGAGGTAGGGATGTCCTCAGAACTGAAACAATAAAACAGAGAAAGAAACACATTGACCTAGTGCCATAAACCTTCAACATGTATTGATGATAAAAGCATATGTGCTAATGCACTCACACAGCCTCATGGGCAGAAAAGTGTTTTAGCAGCCAGTGTGGGAAAGGTTCCAGATAGTAAGCCCATCATGCCGTGGCCAGCGTAATATATGTTTTTATCATTAATAAATGTTAACGTTTTATGGCACTTGGTCATTGCACTTTTTGTTTGTTTTTTGCCTGGCTGCAGCGTAAAGCCTAACTCTAGTAATTCTTTTCGTTATGTGTAACGTGAGGAGTTAATATATCTCATTTTCATTTCTGTGTCCCCATTGCGGAGATTTTCCATCACTTCTGGTGACATTGAAATGGAGATAGGAGTTTAGGACAGGAAATGTACACAGCTACAGTATAATAACATTGTACAAAATGCTAAACCTTCCTGTATGTTTTTGTTTGTGTCCCTGATCATTTCTTGTTCTGATCAGAAATTAGGGGAAATTACGGAGACACACAGCCATAAAAACCAGACAGAAGCTCTAACCCTTCCTGTCTCTATCCAAGTCTATGCTGTTCAAAAGACCTTCTGCTTTCCAGCTCCCTCGTCAACTTCTCCCATGCTCGCCTCCAGGACTTCACTAGAGTCTCTCCCATCCTATGGAACTCTTTAGCCCAACCTGTTTGACTATCTTCCACTCTGACTGCCTTAAGGTGATCCCTTAAGACTCATCTGTTCAGGGAAGCCTATCCCAACTCAACCTAACCACTGAACCATCACATTCTCAAACAATTCATACCCATGCAGCTACCTCCTCATGTATCACTTGCCACTCCCTTTTAGATTGTAAGCCCCCAGGGGCAGGGCCCTCCTTACCATCTTGTCTTGAATTGTATTGTGATTGTAATGTCTTTCTTATATTGTAATCCTGTATAATAATAATAACAATGGCTCAAGCTGAGCAAATTATGTCAAGAGTAAATTAAATTCAGGACTGTTATTATAAAAATGTAAAGGGTTGGAGTTTTTGGAGCCAACAGCTTTTAATGGTGCCTATAAGTATGTTTATACTGTTTCTTTTGCTAAATATAGCCCCGCTACCAGAGTAAATACTGCTACAGCTTCAAGTGACTTTGTCAGAAACTTTTATTGAGATTAATGTGTATGTTACCAACTTCCCAGCCACTACCAAATGCTGGTGGCTTGGTTGTCTATGTCTTTAAAAGAGAACTATAGCCAAACCTTTTATTTTGTCTTTAGTTCTTTTTTGGGTCACAGGAGTACATTTACTAATGCTGACATCGCAGAGCCATGCTGCAGCCGGTAAAGATCCTGACAGTACTGTCAGGATCCACAACGCAGCCTGATTGACAGCTGGCTCTGCCTCTGTAGTGCCGGAGCCAGCTGTGCCTGCCCCTCCCCTGTCCGTCCCTTCAATGAGTGCTGGAGGAACATAGGGAGGGGAAATCCCTGCAGGGAGCAGTGACTGACAGTCACCGCTGTCTACAAGGAGAAGCCATGAGATGAGCAATCATCAGTTTGTAATCGCTCAGTTCTTGAGCTAAAGAGCCAGCGTGTGACAGCTGCAGTTCAAACGATTGGGAAGAGTACATTTTACTCTCTCAAAAATTTTCCTTTAATACTATCTTTTCTAAGAGGGCTTGAACAGATTTCATTTAAAGGATAACTTTCATAAAGTTTTCCTTTACATGACTCCCCTCAGCCCAAGGTCTTATACTCACCTTTACATGATCCTACCATATTCATGTTATGTGGCCCATTTGAACCACACAGCCACTGCTGCAAACTCTACAAGATGGTCCCAAAGTGATGTACTATAAGTTTTCCAGACAATCAGCTCATCCACTCTAACATTGCCGAAACTTCTGTCAGGAAAGGAGCACAGCAACACTTCTTTTACTGTTTATATAACAATTTCCTAAAAATGCCAGCACTCTAGAGGCTGCTGAACATATGAATCCATCAGTACAGGATAAAAACAAGTTTCCATGTTTATGTGTTTTGCCCAAGTGGCCTCAGTAATAGCCAAAAAACAAATGCAGCAAATGCCCTTATGTACCCCTAAAGTCCTCCTATCACAGACACTCAGAAACCAGCAGTCACCATTTAAATGAAGCCAATAAACAAATGCAGCAAATGCCCTTATGTACCCCTAAAGTCCTCCTATCACAGACACTCAGAAACCAGCAGTTACCATTTAAATGAAGCCAATAAACAAATGCAGCAAATGCCCTTATGTACCCCTAAAGTCCTCCTATCACAGACACTCAGAAACCAGCAGTTACCATTTAAATGAAGCCAATAAACAAATGCAGCAAATGCCCTTATGTACCCCCTAAAGTCCTCCTATCACAGACACTCAGAAACCAGCGGTTACCATTTAAATGAGAAAATGGAAACTTAATTTTCCATCTTCCATTAATGATTCATAATTTGTTCTGCTTTTTTTTTTTAGGGTAAGGAAATGTTCTCTAGGCCTGTTCGTTTCCCCCAGTTTTACTACATGGATACCTTTATTCTTTTGGCATCTGGAGCAGAGATTCATCTCATGAAATATCATCTGGATAATTCCAAAAATGACTTGAAACGGTAAAGTGCAATCTTCTAAGTACATGATTACTATATTCCTACACTGGACAAAGCGTACAGTTACATGCATTCATTTTTTATAACCAAAGCACATTGCTTATGCTTACTAATAAGAAGCAAGGTAGAGTGTTTAGAAGCCACAATGCATAAAGCTAACATAGCAACAAAAGGCTCCTTATTTTAAAAAGAGTGACACTTATTTTTATTATTTTATTATTATTTTTATTATATATTTAATATTATATTTTATATTGAGTCCAATAAGATTTAAGTATGCAGTCATATGGCAAAAAAATAAAGAACCTTATGCTTGTGTCAAAGACTTGTGAATTGAGCCTATTGTGTGTTAATTATGCATTGCTTATGACAAAAGATAAACAATCAATTTTAGATAGTATTTTAGTATTACAATTCTCTTAACTCATTAGCATAAAAAAAAATCAGTTCTATATCATACATACGTTTTCAAAGCTGTAAAGAGCCTCAGCGCCCTGGTGCAAAAGCTAAACAGAAGCCATTCAGTTTTGGGGTCTAAGAATATGGTTAAAGAAAATAGAAATAAGACTTAAAGAGTAGAACCTGAAAAAGGTGTACAAAGCAAAGAGACATGCTGATTTATTTGACACTGAATCTAGTGTAAGTACAGTTGCATATTAGAATGTAGTAGGTATATTTTTGTATACTTTATGGTCCTTTTACACCTATATGTATGCAGTAATGTGCATCATATAAACATTTATTTTAGCATTTTATATTGATTAATTACATACACGTACAATTATATATGACATCATTGCATATATTTGTGTTTGAAAAGCATGCCAGTGCATGCTTTTGCTTAAGCATTGTGCATAAACATTCAAGTATAGATTTCACATTGTGTAGACATACTAAAAATACTGTTTTTACCCTTTTTTTTAGTGGAAAGGTTTACAGCATATACTGCCTGGCCAAAAAAAAGGCACACTCTAATAATTCACTGGACTGCCATGAGCTTTGATTACAGCACACATTAGCTGTGGCATCATTTCCATAAGCTTATGCAATGTCACAACATTTATTTCCATCCAAAGTTACATTCATTTTTAACCAAGATCTTGTAGTGATGATGGGAGAGTTGGAACACCATGTAAGGTCTTCTCCAGTACATCCCAAAGATTCCCAATGGGGTTACGGTCTGGACTTTGTGGTGGCCAATCCGTGTGTGAAAATGATGTCTCATGCTCCCTGAACCACTCTTTCACAATTTGAGCCCAATGAATCCTGGCATTGTCATCTTGGAATATGCCTGTGCCATCAGTGAAGAAAAAAATCCATTGATGGAAAAACCTGGTGATTCAGTATATTCAAGTAGGCAGCTGACCTCCTTTTTTGTGGGACATAACATTGGTGAACCTATACCTGACCAACTGAAGAATCCCCAGATCATAGCACTGCCCAAAATCCAGGTGGTTACTTTTTTTTGACCATGTAGTATATTGAAGTGCATGTAAAGTCAACACCTTTTTTAGATTTTGATAGAGTAGTGCATAGTTAAGATCCCTGTCAGTTTTTTTTTCTTTTTTTGCCCTTAGATTTCCCTTCACTTCCTGTCTCAGTAATCGGTAAGCAAGGAAATTTCTTCAGAGCAACAGGGAATCCTTTTTAGACAGTTGTCGGTAGAAAAGGTTTCTCCACTGGAAGATTTCCCCTCATCTCCTGTTCCTGTGACAACTCAAAAGTTTGGGTTTCCATCACTTCCTGTACTGGAGACAATGGTCACCAGGACAAATAGGGGGAATTTCCTCAGTGGGGACACAACACTAACAACACAAATTTAACAAAAAACACATCATTTTTTTGAAAATGCATGTTATGTATTGTGCAGTATGTTTCACTTATGAGTCCCCAGTTCATTTCCCAGTTAGGACACTATCTGTAAGAAGTTTGCATGTTCTCCACGTGCTTGCGTGGGTTTCCCCCACAATCCAAAGACATGCTGGTAGGTTAATTGGCTCCTGTCTAAATCAGCTCTGTGTGTATGCATGTAAGATGGGTACTTTAGATTGTAAGCTCCTTGTGGGCAGGGCCTGATGTGAATGTGTGGCTATGTAAAGCGCTGCATGAATTGTCACCGCTAAATAAATACTTGTAATAAATAATAGTAATAGGAGCTATTACTAATGTTCCCAAAGCAGCCACAAATCGGCTGTAACTTACCTTTAAAATTGTTGTTTTTTCTTCTGCAAGCAATCATATATTTTGTTAATCAAGCAGTATAAACTTATGAATACATTTATCAATTATAAGTGTTGGTTTTGTAATATAAGTGTAATGTTATGCCATAACATTTATGTGGCAATACCATCCTATTAAATATCCATATTAAATCTATTTTTAATAGCCATGATGACATGGATAGCTTGCATTCACTTGCCATTTTCTTTAGTGTTGAAAGAAAGTTATTGCTATGTGGTTTTAAAATAATGCACTATTAAAAAAAAAAAAATCCAACAGAAATATTTAACAAATCCTGAAATTTTGGATTAGAACAGTCCCTTCTGGTTTGGGTTATCAAGAAATGCTTACCTATGTTTTTCTGGTTGCAATATGAACATGAATTGGCAATGCAGCCGGAAGAGCCTCTAAGCCTAGCACATATTTTAGTGTGACGAAAATGTTCTTTTCCATGCACGTGGAAAGACGTGTTTTTTTGGCGGTTAATAACTCAAATAATCGTTAGTGGTTTATTTTGTCTGTAAATGCAGAAATTGATAATGATGCTGAAATTGTTTTGCACTATGAAGAAAGGCACACTGGAGAGGGGTTTATTTGTGTGATCAGTTACCGAAAGTCTTCAAGACTGAATTAGCTATGTTGCACAGACTAAGGTTTTGTTATCATACGTCTATATTAACTGCTGTAAAGGCATGGCAGATCTTTTCCCCATTACTAATTTTACATACTCTGGAGGAGCAAGGCCTTGCCCTGATGGCTGATGATCTGATGACTGGTGGGGAAATATTCAAGAAGCAGCAGGAAATGCAGAATGTTCCCAGAGCCACAGAATGAATAAAGTAGAAGCAGGTTAATCCTTGTACTGCAGGCCCCTTGTCAGGGTTTCTTGCCCTTCCTTGTGCAGTCGCTTGTGCATAGCTTGTAGTGTTTCTGACACTGTGGTTGCTCTTTGGTGCCCTCTTATGTCCAAACCCACAAACATCATCATTCTGCTGCGACTGGCCAACTCCTGGCTAATCCCTGTCTCAGAGTGATGATGCAAGCACCAGGTCAATATTTAACCTTCACCTTGTCCATTCAGACTCCGCCCTTGTGTTTGTTCTGATCAAACAAATGTGCTGCTCTTGTTCCTGATTTCCGTGTATGATCCTGGCTCTGGCTGACTGATCTCCTGGTTCCTGACTCCAGCTTTGTTTCTGTTCATCCCGCTCTCCATGCTCCCTGGCCTGGCTTGGCTGACTACCTGTTTTAGCATCTGACCCCTGGCTTGGCACTGATTACGTCCTGGACTTTCTCCATTGTTTTTGCCATTTATGTTAATTGTTGTTTTCAATATACTCCTTTTATATTTTAAACCTGGACTTTAAGTTTGAGTCTAGTTTCGTGGTTCCCTAACAATCCTTCACCGTTGTGATGTCACCATATCTTACCCCAAATCATTAGATTATCTCACACTAAAGATATACATCTATAAGGATTCAGGCACTTCTGTTTTTCTGGAGGGATTTAAAACAAAAGAGGCAAGTTTAGTACTGCATAGGCACAAATATTACTTCTAGATGTTCCCTCTAACAAAAATGCTCACTTTTTATTCAGATCCTCTTTAAAAATATAGAAATATAAAAGTTAAGAGCACATAATTATTAGCAGATGTGAAGTGTTTGCCTTTGTTCTATTTTACTGTGAACCAATCCAGCACTAGTCACATGTTTCCTGACAAAGCAGAGAGCCAGTGTTCAAGCAGAAGCATAACTTGACTGAGTGTGCCTGATTGTCATTCCTTCAAGCCCTTTTAGCAGAGTTTGTGTGACCTATACTGTGGGATTTTGGAAATAAAAATGACTACATATCAAAAAAGGTATTTCACAAGTAACTTTTGTTTTTCTTGCTTTCAACCACCCTCAGCACCAAAATCAATTTAATGTAAATGTATTGCCTCAGATGTAGGTGGCAGGTTATATAGTTAAACATATGTATCATTGAGAAGAGAATAGAGGTATTTGAGAGAACCTTGTGGAGAAAATTAGTTAAAGCTTACTTTATTGTTGCTCCTCATATGTACAATGTTTTCACTATGATTGCATGCTTTCCCAATTGCTACATAACAGCTGTGAAATCACTGCCAACCTGTATAGTTCTTTGTATTTCTCACCTTGTACCTACTACAAGACCAATCCTACATAAGTCATTTCTAGTGATGGGTGAATGTGCTTTGGATCAATTCATGGGATGTTCAGCAAACTTGTCATAACATGTGCAGATTGTGAATGTTATTGGGGACCCCATAGGAGTCGAAGGGAGGCAAATCTTGAAAATCAATTCTGGCTATTTTCAAAACTATTATGCAAGGAATTGTCAAACAAAGGACATGGATAACTGGACACTGTCCTGGGGTCAATGTACCATTGCAAAAAAATAAATAAATACAATGCATTAGTAATGGCACCAGAAGCGCTTTCTGTGTTTGTGCAGATTTTGTGAACGCTCGTGAAAGCACGCACCTGAATGGGAGCCAAAGTGGGACACTGCAGCTGTCATATGTCATCTCTATATACCAAGAGTTGAGCAATCTTGATTGTTCAGCTCATGTTCTCCATGAAGACTGTTGACTGTCAGTCATTTCCCCCCCGGCAGGGATTCCCCCTCCCCTCTGTTCTTCTAGTACTCATTGAATGGACAAACAGTGGCGGTCACAGCTGACTCTGGCTATAAAAAGGCAGAGCAAGCCTTCAATTAAGCAGCTTGGTAAATGCGACAATATTGTTGAAATATGTCCCAGCTGTAGCAAGGCTCTACACTGTCAGCATATATCGGGCAGTAGTCTGCTATGCTGACTTTGGGTCATAAAAGTGCAGTAGTGAATGTACTCCTGTGACCCAAAAGAGAAGTAAAGCCCCCAAAAAACTGCAGGACCAAAATGTATTCTTATTCTACAGCTTCTCCACTTTCAGAAAATGTTGTAGAAGTTATAAGTAGCCTTTGGGCCAAAAATGCATTTTGAAATGTGTGTAAAAAGAAAAAAATTGGTCCAGCAGCTAAGAGATTGAAGAGATAAAACAGGTGGAAATGTGCATGTACTTATATGTTATACTATATGCTTTTTAATTTTGCTTTGACATATACGCTTGAAACACTAGAGCATTCCTTTTCTCTTCAGAAGGCAGAAACTACTGTGCATCATATTCATCAACAAACTTGGACAGCTAATTCCTGTTTGTGGATATTTTGATTAAATCTGTTATGTCTCATAATGAGCAATTGGCTTATAATTCAAACATATTAATAACTGAGATTTTCATCCAGATAATTATTTTTTCCGCAGAGTGTGGTGCTGAGTTCCTCTTCATTGTCTTCTAAATAAAGTCTTGTTTTTGTACTAGCTGTTCCACTTAATTAAACAAATCTTGAACTGAACATTCCAGAGAACAAAAATGATAAAACATATTCTTCTGACATATGTAAGGCAGACATTCACAGGATTATTACTTGTAATATTATCTGTCTGAAAACTGAAACACATTATTGTTGCAAGAGTCATTATCCTGTTACTGTTATTGAAATTCCAAGTAAAAACCTAGCACAGCATTCTGTTAAATACCTTAATAATCCAATAGTGTACATTAATTTGGAAAATACTGATGTGATTATACCATTACCATGCTTTTCTATTTAAATGTCACCTATCAGAGATTAATATCCTGAAGGTGGCTATTTATTGTATGTGACATTAGTGTTAACTCAATGAGCTACACTGCCTGTCCAACAAAAAAAAAAGTCACACACTCTAATATTACGTTGGATCACCCTTAGGTTTAATTACAGCACATATTTGCCATGGTGTCGTTTTGATAAGCTTATTCAGTGTCACATTATTTATTTCCGTCCAGAGTTGCATTCATTTTTCACCAAGATCTTGCAGTGATGATGGGAGAGTTGGATCACTGTGTAAGGTCTTCTCCAGCACATCCCAAGGATTCCCAATGGGGTTAAGGTCTGTGGTGGCCAATCCATGTGTGAAAATGATGTCTCGTTCCCTGATCCACTCTTTCACAATTTGAGCCCGATGATTCCTGGCATTGTCATCTTGGAATATGCCGTGCCAGCAGGGAAGAAAAAAATCCATTAATGGAAAAACCTGCCCATTTAGTATATTCAAGTAGGCAGCTGACCTCATTTTTGTGGGCACATAGCATTGCTTAACCTAAATCTATTATCCAGTGGAAGGCTCTTGCCTATTCTAGGGCTGCAACAACTAATCGACATAATCGATTATAATCGATTATTGAAAAAGTTGTCAACTTTTTCAATAATTGATTAATCGGCTTCCGATCAGTTGGCCCTGTTCACAGCTCCACACACGCTGCGCACCGCACCTCCTCCCCAACTCACGCTCACCGCTGCCAGACCCGCACGCCCGCATCCACGCTCTACACGCCACACCTCCTTCCCGCCTCACACTCACCGCCCGCCCACATCCACCATCGGCACAGGGACGCAGGGAGATGTAGTAAGGAGGAGCAGGTGTGGGGGGATGACAGCGGCAGATAGACAGGCCTGATCTCAGAAGCAAGTTGCTGGAAGACTGCTCAGGTAAGCCTGCGCACCCCCCCCGCCTCCCACATGGTGCTCTATAATGTATTGCTGGGATTTGTATTCCTCTATAGCTGATGGTACATTGTGCTGTATATTATACATGGGAATACAAATCCCAGCAATACATTATACACTGTACGTATAATGTACTATTGCTGGCATTTGTTGTACTCCTCTATAGTTGGTGATATTCTGCACTGCGCTGTATAGAGGACTACAAATCCCAGCAATAATACATTATACAGCGCCATGCGAAATTCCACCAGCTATAGAGGAGCACTACAAATCCCAGCAAAAATACATTATACAGTGTAATACAGAATACCACCATACAGTGTTGCAATGCCGAATACCATTAGCTATAGAGGACTACAAAACCCAGCAACAGTACATTATACACCGTAATACAGAATACCACCAGCTATAATGTACTATTGCTGGGATTTGTTGTGCTCCTCTATAGCTGGTGATATTCTGCATTACGCTGTATATTGTACTATTGCTGGGATTTGTTGTGCTCCTCTATAGCCGGTGCCATTCTGCATTGTGCCGCTGTATAATTTTACACTTTCCATTTCACTATATTGCACACCACACTTTTTTTTTTTTACTTCCACCGCTCCAAGCTTGCTCCTGTGATGGACTACAACCTCAATACAAACTAGTAGTCCATCACTGGAGCCATTTTTTAAAATGTATTTTATTGTTTATCCGATTAACCGAACTTAATAATCGGCTAACTAATCGATTTTGAAAATAATCGTTAGCTGCAGCTCTAGCCTATTCGCTTATCTAAATCCAGCTGGTGACTTTTATTTGGACAGACAGTGTATAATACATTCTTTGTTTGCCAAATTAAATTGAGTTATGTATTATTTTCAGCACTGATAGTCTATAGTTGTTCAAATCCAATTATCTATGACAAATTATGGTTTTACTTAGTAAACTGAGACTATTAAGCATCAACATGTTCTTAAGTATGAATATAAGCATGATAGACTATATTAATGATGTTCACAGCACAATGTATTTGCTTTTATACAACCTATTGATATGTGTATTTTTGTAGGTATGAACAGAAGAGTGTATGTAAAACAGTTGAAAAGTTTCATCTGGACTCAGTGGAGATTACTGGCATTTCAGCGGTGAATGACTTCTACTCCCGTATCCTTTTTTAATCTTTGATCTGCATTCTGAAAATGTTTTATAGGCATTAGCAGCTTACTCTGCCTTGCTCTTTACAGACAACCTAGTATCTGAGGTCAAGTAAAAACTTGTACAGGATCACCTGTACAATTACATATACTGATCACCATGTAAATATTGGGGTGAGTGTCAAACTGATACATTTTTTGCAATCAAAAAGACAGAAATGTTTATAGGTACCACTACTCTACTATATCTATGGAGGAATCCATGGTTGCCACTGAGAATGAACTTTAAATATGTGTGCCTTTGTTCAACTCCATTACATGGTGTAAGGGGAGCTTAGTAGTGTACAGGAAAGAAGATAACATTTTTATGCGTCTAGTTTAGCTCATGGGAAGTGACAGTGACACTGAATTTCTGATAAGATCCATACCTATTCTCCGTAGTTGCTAGGGAAAAAAAACAACTAATGAAGCCACCACATCTATGGACTAATTGTAATATATAACATTTTTGTTCTTGGGTCTAGTTTTTTGTTTTTTTTAAGTTAAAGTAGATCTCCAGTCAAAAAGTTTTTCTAGATTTTTATGGTTTTGACCAGAGAAGTTGTAGAGGAGATATCTTCCATTGGTGACACTTGTTATGGTGACAACTGTCATTGGTTGGATTTTGCTTATATCTGCTAATTTCATTTTGTGTTTCTAGTACAGGAAATTAGGAAAAATCTCCCCAGCGGAGACGGATTGCAGAAATAACCCAGTACAGATTCTAATGCTTTCCATTCTATCCAAATAAAAAAAGGTTTGGCTGGATTTCCACCTTAAGAATAAGAACTTGCCAGTAGACATCAGATAGTGGTCAGCCATCAGAGTGTGATCTAATCACTGAAATATATATTTTTCTCAAATATCTTATCATGAACATGCCTGCTTAGAGGATCAGAAAAGGCATGTTGAAGCAGGAATAATCCTTTGTGCCAGCCTTGTCCTTCTGCCTGAGTACACTACATAAAATGTTCACAACTCTGTCAGGGGAGGTAAAGGAGGTTATATCTTCTATTTCAATCTATTTTTCCTACCTTTTAAATAGTACTGCACTATAACAGATTCACCTGGCTGTGCTCGAGAAACAGTGTCCTATGCCGCCCTCTCCCGCAGCATTACTCTGCTCCTCCTCCCTCTAGCTGGCTGTCGGCTTAAATTGGAAATGCTCAGCATCTTGGTATTGTGGTGGACACTGAGCATTCCCACCACACTGTCAGACCGCTCCCTTGCTGAAGTACTCTAGTACATTGTACTCACCTGAACCGTGCCATCCTGGACTTGCAGCCACTGTGAGCTTAACCCCTCGCCATTCTGGACTTGAGAGCCTTTTCAGCTTAACCTCCGTCATACAGGAGCTACAAACACTGCATGCATTAACCCTCAACCATCCTGGGATTACATCCACAGCAGGACTACAACCCTCACTATCTCCTTATACCTTTACCTCCAGTGCAACTAACTGCAAGTATATATTTTTGTATCTACCTGACTCTAAACTTCTTATGCCTGCTTACATGATTGTTTAAATCAGATGGTATGAGTTATTTGGGACTGGTGAGTGGGTTGCCACAGTGGATTTTGAGACAGATATAATGGTTTATGAATTCTGTTGATCCATATCAAGGATAGAATTAGAAGGACAAGCACCTCACAGAGTACGCTATGTAACTGAGTGAAGCATTTACTGTCATCTGCTTATACCCGAAGTTGGACTTCTTCTTCCACATGTGTTTAGTGATGTGTATGATGTAATACAAATCACCTTCCTCATCATATTTGAAATATCTCTTAAACCAGAGTTTAATAAACCTATATGAAGTAATACAGACCACTTGTTTTTGGTGGGACTTTATTCATAACCATGCGTTTCCATCACCTATGGGATGTAATACAGGCTCCTCTTGTACCTAATAGGAAAACATTCAAGCTGTGAATCTCCTTAGTCTCTCATCTGGTTGTATGAGTAACTTCCACATCCACAGCTGTGATCCATAGCAGGTAAATCCCATTCCATTAAAATAGCATTAAATGCACCTGCTAAACTTGGGAAGCAATATGAAATATTAATTTGCAGGTTTTTTTAATGTTTTTTATATAGATTTTTAACATGTTAATATTGTCATATATATATATATTTAATATATTTAATACTAAACATTATATA